TACATTAAACACTTTGACCCCAGACTAATATAGTATACAGAAAGGTAGGTTAGGTTAGGTTTTGTATTGTGACCATTACAATACAAAGTTTCGCCACAGGTATATATGGTACACGTGAAACAGAAATTCACTGTTACAATAGGAAGTCACCTAATCGTATCAAAACAGACAACTCTAACAACGAAAAGAAAACCGTCTTCACAAAAAAAATCAACGACAACGCCTCGCGGGCCTCTTGAGGCCCGCGCACACACGCACCCTCTAGTTATGAATATAAAAGCATATTTTATACAAACTATTTATAATCATTAATAATATTAATATTAATTTTAAGAAGGGAGGGCACAGCAAGATGTATTTCGGTACATCTTGCTCGATTTGGGGCGGCCCGAACTGGCGTAGTACCTCCACCAAGCGGAAAACCACAGCCAAACAGTGCTGTACTTGCACTACACAACAGCACTGTGTTCCTGTGGTGAGTAAGGTGACCAGAGCCCCATGGGGATGGGTTGTGCTGGTATTGGTGGACCTGTGTGTCCAACAGTGCCTCGGGATTGCATAGGCGCGACGTGGTGGCGCGGCGTTCAGGGAGACCCGGTGAAACGGCTAACCGCTGGCCGCCCGCAGGTTGTTGGGTTCCCGAACCCAGGGATTACATAATCTCCGCCCTGGGAGGCTGAACCGCCGCCTGTGCATAATCTCTGGTGTAGTAGTCGTGCCGGAGGAGGAGACCGGAGTGGACCCGGCTGCTACACCAGTGGGGGGACCGGGAGCCCTTCCGGCTGCCGTGCCATCAAGTCGCCCAACCTGTGCAATGCTGGGGTGCATTGATGCACCTTTTGTCCTTTCTGATAACGGCGCAACCATTCCCCTTTAACCTTAAAAAAAAAAAAATACTGCCATACTACCATTAAAAAAAGGAAACTTAGTACTTCAGCGGCACCCCAATCCACATTAGATATGGATTTCTGTAATATCAGGGGACTTCACGGAAACATCAATGCGGTCCACCATCACCTTGAGACCGCAAAGCCGACCCTCTTATTCCTTACGGAGACGCAGATATCCTCTCCGGCTGACACTTCATACCTGCTGTACCCTGGGTATAAACTCGAGCACAAATTTGTGCGTCGTGCCGGGGTTTGTTTGTATGTCCGGGAAGATATCTGCTGTCGCCGCCTTCTTGGTCTAGAAGAAAAAGACCTGTCAATCCTATGGGTTCGCATTGATCAGGGTGACTACACCGGCATCTATGCGTGCCTGTACAGGTCTCATAGCGGTGATGAGGATACGACTCGTCTGTTTGAGCACCTTCAATTGACGTCTGATAAAGTTCTTGAGCAGTATCCCTCCGCAAGTCTAGTGATACTTGGAGACTTCAATGCCCATCACATCGAGTGGCTCCGTTCTCGGCTCACCGACCACGCGGGGAGAACTGCTCACGAGTTTGCTCTGGCCTATGGATTCTCGCAACTGGTTCATTCTCCAACGAGAATACCTGATATCGAGACCCATACGAGCTCCTTACTGGACCTTCTGCTGACTACACGACCGGACGGATATTCAGTGACCGTGGAGGCACCACTTGGTTCTTCAGATCACTGCCTTATCCGATCCCAGGTACTGTGCACAAAACCTGCTATATCCCGACCTCCTTGTCAACGTCGTATATGGCATTATAAATCTGCAGATTGGGACAGATTGCGAGAATTTTACGCATCGTACCCATGGAAGCAGTACTGCTTTGCATCAGAAGACGTCGATACCTGTACAGCCGCCTTTACTGAAGTCATACTTGCGGGTATGGAATGTTTTATTCCAAATCTGCTTGTTTCTTCAGGGGCGAAAAAGCGACCGTGGTTTAATAGGTCATGCAGAGAAGCCAGACAGGCTAAACAAACTGCTTATCTGGCTTGGACCACGGCTCGTTCCAACAGTGATGTTGACGTATCTGATGCAAGGCGGAATTTAAATGCTGCATCCAGGTTTAGTAAGAGAGTAATTGCTAGAGCCAAATTCGACTTCGTCAGTAAAATTGGTGAACGACTAGCACGACATCCTTCTGGAAGTCGTGCCTTTTGGTCGCTTGCCAAAGCTGCCGAAGGTAACTTTAGTCAGTCGTCCTTACCACCACTACGGAAGCCGGATGATAACTTGGCAATCAGTGCAAAAGAGAAGGCCGATTTGTTGTGCGCTCTTTTTGCCTCAAATTCGACTTTGGACGCCGGGGACACCATACCTACTACCAACCCATGGTGTGGTAACTCTATGCCGGAAATATCCGTAACGCAACGGCGTGTCCGGCGAGAGTTACTGTCTCTTGACGTCCACAAGTCGAATGGGCCAGACGGCATACCGGCATTGGTGTTAAAGCAGTGTGCTCCGGAGTTGTGTCCCGTACTCACGCGCCTTTTCGCGCTTTCGTACTCCTCTGGGCAATTTCCGTCTTCATGGAAGACCACCCTTGTGCACCCTGTGCCAAAAAAGGGCGACAGATCAAACCCATCGAACTACAGGCCTATCGCTATCGCATCTCTACTCCAAGGTGATGGAGCGTGTAATTAACACACAGCTCCTGGGATACCTAGAGGATCACGATCTATTGAGCGATCGTCAATATGGCTTTCGCCATAATCGCTCAACTGGTGATCTTTTAGTGTATCTCACACACCGTTGGGCTCTTGCCATCGAGAGTAAAGGTGAGGCATTGGCAGTCAGCCTTGACATGGCGAAGGCATTCGATCGGGTTTGGCATCAAGGTCTTCTATCGAAATTGCCCTCGTACGGTATACCAGAGGGATTATGCAAATGGGTCGCTAGTTTTTTGTCTGGCAGATGCATCAAAACCGTAGTCGACGGTAGTTGCTCCGATAGCATGGACATTAACGCTGGCGTCCCGCAAGGCTCCGTTCTCTCCCCGACACTGTTTTTGCTGCATATCAATGATTTGTTAACTACAGTTAACATTCATTGTTATGCGGATGACAGTACTGGGGACGCATTTTACACGGGCCGTGCTAATATCCCTCTTTCCGTTGTGGAGGCAAACCGCGAACAGCTTGTGTCTGAAATCGAGAGTACTCTTACCAGAGTCTCCGATTGGGGGCGACTGAACTTAGTTCAATTCAACCCTACCAAGACACAAGCCTGCGCGTTCACCGCTAAGAAAACCCCTTTTGCTGTGGCTCCGCAATTCCAGAACACGTCCATTACCATCTCTAAGAGTATTGGGATTCTCGGTATCGACATCTCTAGCACAGTTGAGTTCCGTAGTCACCTCGAAGAAAAGGTTAAGCTGGCATCCAAAAAACTCGGTGTGCTCAATAGAGCGAAGCGGTACTTCACTGCGGACCAGAGACTCCTCTTATATAAGTCTCAAGTTCGGCCGCACATGGAGTACTGCTCTCATCTTTGGGCAGGAGCACCTGGATACCAGCTCGGTCCTTTTGACTCGGTTCAGAGACGTGCTATGAGAATTGTCGATGATCCCAATCTCTCTGACGGTATCGAGCCACTTAGTTTGAGGCGAGACTTCGCTTCGCTTTGTGTGTTCTACCGATTATACAACGGACTGTGTTCTGAGGAATTGTTCGACATGATGCCTACGGCCACCTTTCACCATCGCACCGCTCGCCATCGACAGGGAATTCATTCCCACACGCTGGAACCTAAGTGGTCTCGGACAGTGCGGTTTCAGAGGAGCTTCCTCCCGCGTACACTTAGATTGTGGAATGAACTTCCTGCCGAGGTTTTCTCACGAGACTACAGCATGGGGTTTTTCAAGAAGGGTATATTAAGGTTTCTTAAGGGTCGGCAACGCGCACGTGACACCCCTGGTGCTTCAGGCGTCCATAGGCTACGGTAACCATTTACCATCAGATGGGCCGTATGCTTGTTTGCCACCATAGTAGTATTAAAAAAAAAAAAAAAAAAACCTACAAATTAAATTTTCTTTTCTGCTATAGATACCTAGGTAAGTACGTAAGTATCCATATAAATTTAGAATGATATGGGCACATCTTTTTAAATTTGTACATAATTGTAAAAACTTTAAACAAATAAATTTATTTACTTTAAACAAATCACAGAGCATCATAAACGTTGTATTCCGTTCACAGAGCACCGTATTCATTGAAATAGTTTTTTAATTATATTAATATCATAATCAACCCTAATTTTATATTAAACATTTACTCTAGTTAATACAACATTCTATGTGATTTGGGACGAAAATAAAATATCGAATTGGCAACACTGATGTCATGTTGTGAGTCGTGACAATTTTCCCATTTTAATAAATTTAAAACCTTTTCACGACTTTCTACGTAATATTTAATATAATAAAAATATATGTAATACTGAAAATTACCAAAACAAGATAAATAATGCTGCTAATGCTGATATTTTAAAGATTGTAACCAAAAGAAACACCTTCTAAATTGTTTCTCATAATGTAAAAACCGTTTCAATTCCACGCTGTCATTTCGGCAAAATAGCGATTACGTGACGTTGCAACGAGGTTACTAAATCGACATTCGATAGAAATAATTTTTATCGATATGTAAAGTTGCGTTTACGTTGCAATGCTAGTTGACAGCGTCAAATGGCGTCAATATGATCGCATTATTGACAGATGACGTCATTTTCACTACGTTACATACGAAAATCGTTGCGAACGAAGTTACATAATTAGCCCACAGAAACCAACCAACCGAGTTTGGTTTCAAAAGAGTTGGCTTGTGCTTGCCTAGTTGGATACGATTTGTACCGATCACATTCCAGAAGACGTCCGCACCTACAAGGATATCAATGGATGACGGCACGTTGAAATTTGGATCGGCTAAGCAAACCCCAGGCGGTATTTCTAAGTTATGCACATCTATATATGTATTTGGAAGTAAGGCCGTGATGTTAGGTAAAACGAAACAATTGATATCCGTCCTGTAGCCACCACAATAAGACTCCAATGTAAGAGAGCATGACAATGAACTCGTGGATACCTGTTGATTGATGCCTGTTACTCTTGAATTCGTAGAGTTGGTAAGAAGATTGAGTTTGGCACAAAATTCCTTTGTGACAAAGTTTCCTGTGCTTCCATTGTCTAATAAGACTCTAGCGGCATGTGATTTTCCATGGCCGTCGAGCACCTGGACCATAGCTGTGGATAGCAAAATATGGTTTGTGTTAATTAAAGACTGAGATGGTTCAGCAGATAACACAACGCTGTCATGTGCGACAGGCTCATTATGAATATCGAGATGAAGAAGCGTGTTGTGTTTGGATTTGCAATATTTGCAATGTGACAATTTAGAGCGTGATTCGTGGTGACCAGGCCGAAGGCAATTTAAGCATATTTTAAAGGTCTTAGCCTTTTCAATACGCGTCTCAACAGGTAGCTTTCTGAAGGCATCGCAATTAAATAAATAGTGCTCATGATAGCATAATGGACATGAAAATGATTTATTTTTACTTGAAGAAATTATAAAGCTATTGGATTTGTGAATATGAGTAGATTCAGAATTACCTCTGTTATTTTTTGCCTCCTCCAAAGTCTCCAAAAGATCTGCTCTGTTAGTTAAAAAGGTTAAAAAAATATCTAGAGTAGGTGGATCGTTGCGATTGTTTCTGTATTCCTCCCATTCCCTATTTGTGACAATATCTAATTTAGTTGACATCATATAAATTATTAAAGTATCCCAACTTTCTGTAGGCTGGTCAAGCGTAGCCAAAGCTTTAAGATTTTTATTTGTGACATCAACTATGTAACGCAAGGCTTTACTAGATTCTTTTTTGATGGCATTTACATTGAAAAGGGCGTGAACATGATTGTTTACAAGCAAGCGTTTATTATCGTACCTCTTGCACAACAATTCCCATGCGGCAGCATAATTTCTCGGCCTTAAAATCTAAGCTTTTGATGACAAGGGCTGCACTGCCTTGCAAACAAGCACGAAGGTAATGAAATTTGTTTATGTCGTCAATGACCGTGCTGGAATGAACTATAGAAATGTAGGTATCGCGGAATTCAAGCCAATGCTGGTAACTGCCATTGTAAAAAGGTCGCTGTATCTTGGGAAGACGTACGAAACTATTGTGTTTGTGCGCACAAGCATCATGAGAGCTTACCTCGTGATTTGAGGAATGTGACGAAGTTGATGATGACTGGCACAGGGTTTTAGCAGTCGCGACAGCCGAGTAATACTGGTTCTCGAACACGTCTCGTTCCTGATACCTCTGATCAGGATCGTCAGCGAGTTCCTCGATCTCACCCTGAAGATTATCAAAGTCAGAATATAGTAATTCCATTTTATCAATACGCGTTTGCAGTTCAAATTGAATGGCTGCATTGCTAACAGCGGAACTTTCTTTTAAAATATTAATATAATTGCAAAAATTTGTAAGTTTACTTTTAAATGTTCCACGTCTTTTAATTAATTGAGTTAGTTGTGTTGATTTAGATTCTGACATTGTAAACGTTAATTAAGATGAGTTGAATGAATACTATATGATGAAGAAGTTGAATTGCAAATAAAAGGAAATAAAAAAGAATAATTATTTTTATTTTGTTATAGGTGATTGTTTTAAATTACTATTTTTATAAAGTAGCAAATAGAAACGATACTAATCTGTTTAATGTTTCTGCACCGCGCTTCGCAGTTTTACAAAACAGTAGTACAAAGTCGAACTACCGAACGACCTAGGAAAAAAAAAACAAAAATTAATACACAGTAATAGAAATATTGTATACTTATTGGTTATTAGTGAAGCAACTAAACGCAGACTAATGATATTAATTGCATTTCTACTATTTACAAGTTGCAAGATCAATTATTTGTTTTAAGGTTATAATGTTATTAATTACGTTATGATTTTGTGAAAGAATGCCACGTATTATGGTTATGAATATGATATTGATTGTGATTAATTCGTAAAATGACTGTGTGTGATTAAAATAATAATAAGATTTGCTAATCAATCACTATCTACGCATTATTATGCAGTACTACGCAGTACACTATGGAATCACGCATATATATACTATGACTGCAAATAACTAATGAAGTAAATGGCAATAACCTTTTATGGTTTGTAATGAAAATGATAATTACATGAATGGTAATTATGATGGAATGATTATGATAATGGAGAAGTTAAAGTGAAGATGATATTAGGATGGATGTGTAAAGATAAGATAATGGAACGATCTCACGGTCTTTATGCACTATCCATATAGGTAATCCTCTTCTTGTTCTTCTCTTAGTGCGTTGTAAGACCCGTAGAATTCTGGTCGGAAGACTAAACAGCAACGTTGAAGTGCGCAGTTGAAAGAAGCCAGTGCGCAGTTGAATGAAGCCAATGCGCCGTTGAAAGAAGCCAGTGCGCCGTTGTTAGATGCTGCTTGCGTCGCAATAAAATTCCAGTCGTCCAAGTAGTGGTTGAAGGACCAATTTGTTGGCGTCAGGGAGTGAAAGAGTGGACTGTTATAGATTCTCCAATGCGTTTATTACTAGAACTTATATTACAATGCTTTAGCCCGACATTAATAGTACGGAACGCTATGAAAATAAACTAAAGATGCGCGTGCGGTTGTTACGGCGTTAAAAATCAGTGTGTCGCTGTGTGCGGCCGGCAGCCGGCCGCAGCGATATTGTCCGACGCCCCGCGCCCCCGGGTCTCCCCGGGGACATCATCGCGCTCGCTGTTTATGGCTTGACCAATAGCTGCTATAAAAAAAAAAAATACATGAAAGAAAACTTTAATATCTTAAATTTAGGCAGGAAATAAATATAGATTATAATCGCAGCACCATTTACGGCCGCATATATATATAAAATATAACAAATGAAAACTTTGCAAGATCAATGGAACATCTCACGTTGAGGAACTGAACATACTGACAGACAGATACATAACAATTAGGTCAGCTTACTCTGTCTGATGAAATATGCTTTAAAAAAAAAAAAAACTAAAGCATTTATAGCTTTATAAGACAGCCGGTTTCTTATCTGACAATCTCAATCTGACAGAGAAGCAATTCAAAAGCCTATTATAGGATAGATGAACTTATAGATAGAAAGAAAGAAAATAAGATGGTAGCAATATCTAACAAGAATTTTTTTTTTTTTTTTTGGCGGCGTTTTAAGCCATCATTCTAGGGTCATCGGACTCCCTAAAATATGGTAGAGCGCATATGATGGCTGGCTCATCCGTCATACCCGTGAACGAGTGCTGCTCGTAGAGACTGGTCTGCTCTTAGCACTACGACTGATTTAATCTTATTGTATATTTATATTGAACCCAAATAAATTAGTGCTGGTTTGTAATTAGTATTCACATGTTTCGACTTGTAAAATGTGAACTTACAATGATTGTGTAAAAGATACGATACCTAGAAGTGAACCAGTTGATTTCCGACCGTCAGCATGGCTTTCGCCAGGGTCGCTCAGCTGATCTTCTAGTGTATTTGACACATCACAGCCCTAGCTGTTAGTCTGCATATTGCGAAGGCCTTTGGTCGGGTTTGGCACAAAGCTCTTCTTTGAAAGTTGCCATCCTACGGGTTGCCTGCGAAGGTATGCAAATGGGTCGCCAGCTTTCTCGCTGATCGGAGCATCGAGATCGTTGTCGATGGTGCTTGCTCCGACCCACACTCTGTGAATGCTGGTGTGCCCACCGGAGTCATTAAGGTGGGAATTGGTTTGTCAAATCCCAACGAGCTCAATGCTTCAATAGATTTGCCAATTATACAATAAACATATAATATACAGCAATAAACACGACGATGTTGCATAAATTTGGCGTATACCTGCTGGAAAAAAAAAAAAAAAAAAAAAAAAAAAAAAAAAAAAAAAAAAAAAAAAAAAAAAAAAAGTCGATGCAAGAAGCGGCCAACCAAGAACGAGAAGCTGCAATATCACGTGGCGAGACGATGGCTATTCCATTAAAAGAACCTAAACTTCTAACCAAAGGTCGTATAGCTAGGTTACGTACAGCAATCCGCTCAGCAAGTTAATATAGAAATGAACAAAACTGTTCCACTGAATTTGAAGACATATTGAATAGTGTATGTACGTTAAAAAAAAAACAAACCGTATATTGTCTCGATGGTACCAACATTAATAATTTAATTGTCACTTGACATATAATTCCAGTAGTCTATTATGTAATTTTAATAACAATCGTGCAGAAAAAAAAAAAAAAAAAAAAAAAAAAAAAGTATCCGTATCCATTGGAGATGAAAACGAAACTTCAACCATGTCCAAACCAAATAATAGCGGCTAAAAGTAATGCGCCCGCCCACTACTGCACAAGCGGAAAGTATCATAGTCGTGCGCGCTAGATGGCGTGTAAGGCCAAGGTTTAGGTTTAGGTTTAGGTTTAGGTTTAGGTTTAGGTTTAGGTTTAGGTTTAGGTTTAGGTTTAGGTTTAGGTTTAGGTTTAGGTTTAGGTTTAGGTTTAGGTTTAGGTTTAGGTTTAGGTTTAGGTTTAGGTTTAGGTTTAGGTTTAGGTTTAGGTTTAGGTTTAGGTTTAGGTTTAGGTTTAGGTTTAGGTTTAGGTTTAGGTTTAGGTTTAGGTTTAGGTTTAGGTTTAGGTTTAGGTTTAGGTTTAGGTTTAGGTTTAGGTTTAGGTTTAGGTTTAGGTTTAGGTTTAGGTTTAGGTTTAGGTTTAGGTTTAGGTTTAGGTTTAGGTTTAGGTTTAGGTTTAGGTTTAGGTTTAGGTTTAGGTTTAGGTTTAGGTTTAGGTTTAGGTTTAGGTTTAGGTTTAGGTTTAGGTTTAGGTTTAGGTTTAGGTTTAGGTTTAGGTTTAGGTTTAGGTTTAGGTTTAGGTTTAGGTTTAGGTTTAGGTTTAGGTTTAGGTTTAGGTTTAGGTTTAGGTTTAGGTTTAGGTTTAGGTTTAGGTTTAGGTTTAGGTTTAGGTTTAGGTTTAGGTTTAGGTTTAGGTTTAGGTTTAGGTTTAGGTTTAGGTTTAGGTTTAGGTTTAGGTTTAGGTTTAGGTTTAGGTTTAGGTTTAGGTTTAGGTTTAGGTTTAGGTTTAGGTTTAGGTTTAGGTTTAGGTTTAGGTTTAGGTTTAGGTTTAGGTTTAGGTTTAGGTTTAGGTTTAGGTTTAGGTTTAGGTTTAGGTTTAGGTTTAGGTTTAGGTTAGGTTAGGTTAGGTTAGGTTAGGTTAGGTTAGGTTAGGTTAGGTTAGGTTAGGTTAGGTTAGGTTAGGTTAGGTTAGGTTAGGTTAGGTTAGGTTAGGTTAGGTTAGGTTAGGTTAGGGGCGTGGGTCGGGCAACCTCCAAGTATGGGCCTGCCATTGGGAGGCTTCCCCATCCTCGTGGATACGTCCGCGGGGAACGGTGGCCGAGCAATGGTTTGGTTCTGGTACGCCCCGGGCGGGATAGTAGTCGTTCCTTCGGGATACGGCTACTATGTCGGCCAGTAGCCCGGCAGGTTGGGCGGGTTGCGGATTCCTATGCCTCGACAAAAGTCGAGGATCCCGGAGTCAGGAACCCGCCCAACTTTCTTTTTTTAGTCTTCTTTTTGTTTGTTCCTTCTTCTTTGTTTTGTTTGGGTTTTTACTTCTTTTTGTTTTCTTTTAATTTATTTCGGGTTTTAGTTTGTCTTTGGTTTTTATCTGTCTTTGTCTGTCTGTTATCTTTCTGTCTTTTTGGTTTCATTTTCTATTTCGGTTTCGTCGTTGGCGGGAGTCCGGGACCACACCCGTAAAAAGGAAAAACATGAATATGGCTGCACGTAAAAAGGATATACCCCAGGGAGGTACCGGTCGCTCCGCGGCCGGAGAATCCTCCCCCACCGCACCGGGTTTGCCGGGGGTGGGCCGTCCCAAGTACTCTGGGGGGGACGCGGACAGTCGTAGGCAGGAGTGGGAGAGGGATGTGTTGAGGTGTGTTGAGGCCGTGCAGGGAATTGAGGAGTTCGAAATCCAGGTGGCCGGCATGGACTCCGAGTGCACGGGGTCCGGAATGTCGGCCGCTTCGGAGGACTGCCTCAATTCTCTGTCGGTCACATCCGAGGACGGCCATAGCCTCAGGGTGAGCACGTCGCCCAAGAGGTACAGGCGTAAAAGGCGCGTCGTCGAGAGGCCGCAAGATCTGGACTCCGACGACGACGTCGATCTCATCGAGGTGCCCACAACAAGGGCAAAAAAGGGCGCGAGCCCGAAGCAAGGTGGAAAGGGGGCGCCAGCTGCCCGAATGGAGACAGAGGGTTCGGCGTCTGAAGCCGGTCCCTCCAGATCGGTCTCCGCTCCGGCGGCTGCCTCCCGATTACTAGGCACGGACGTGAAGCGCGCTGATGAGCTGGGCGCCACTATTGCGGACAGTGCCCTCAAGGTTCTTGCCGCG